CACAAATTGACCCAAATAAATTAGCTCCCCTTTACCTTGTAAACCATTTAAATCCATAATATGGGGTCAAAACCCGTGAATGATATGAATCTATTCTCACGGAAACCTGTTCGGTTTCGATTGTTCATTTTTATCAATGAACTACTAAAGTATATGCTTATTCAAAATTTCAAATCAATAAATTACTTTCTTATGACGATTGGGGATGTAATCCTCTCCAAGGGAAAAAATTGTTAAATCCAGATTTCTAATATAAATATGATAAATATGCTGAGTACATAGAAGCCTGGCATAAGGTATTCTCATACTAGAATCCAAATAATACTCATTCTTGGTACTTGCAATTTAAACTCTCTATTTACGAAAGATTCCCAAATTGGTTCACTGGTTTTTATTATGGAGATCACGGACCCAAATCTTACCTGAAGCTTTCCAAGCCTTTCAAACCAAATTTGCACAACATAATACTTGCACCGAACTGGATGATTTTCATCTCTACGTCATGGCCATCTACCAAATACCTTGGGTCCTAAAATGAGATTATACTATCTCTGAAAATAATATGAATAATTATGAGTATATTCCTAAACTTGGCAAAACCCTTAAAGTTAAGTGATGGGATATTTTTAGTACTGATCCTACCTCCTTACCCCTTAAACGTATACCTCCTCAAAACAATATCTTGAACCCCCAAGCACATAATACAGTCAGCCTACCTACATTTTCTGCTTATTTAAAAAAGATGAGACTAGCACACCCTAATGCTACCCTTGAAGAATTAGAGTAAAATCTTCTCAATATCTTTGCTCCTGATACCACTGCACCGACTACTTCAGAAGAAACAGTTCAATTCTGGCAATCCATTGTTAGAAGATTTCAGCCAAAGGCCCGACCAATAATTACAGCCCGAGAATACAACCCGACCCTACCAAAACCCGATCAATACAATCAGCATCAGCAGCAGTTCACATGATAAGATATAAAGCAGATTAGCGACATACAGCAGTTTCTTATATTCGCGATATGACTCCACTATATGCCGATGTGACTCCACCGACCTCGAACACTCGCCACGAAGCCTAAAGCATAGTACTAAAGATTCTTCCGTCACATCAACTCCCCATCAACCAATACACAACCACCACGCATTTGACAACACGACAAAACGTTACATCCCATCCTTTACCTTCGGCACTAAGCTACCTTCCGCCAATCAAAAGATAGCTTCAACACCAAGATACCTTCGGCCAATCAGAGGAAATACCTTCGTGACCAAGCAAACTCTCGCCCTTTATAAATAACTCCTTTCACTTACCAGAAGGTAGGTAAGGACTCCCGGCAGACTAAAGAAGATCAAGCCCAGACCTCTACTCTTTTCTCTTCTACCTTCTTCTATTCTCCTTTGCTTTTCTCTCCTGTTTTCTCACTCTTTCTACGACAGTAGTTGAGTAGCGTTGTAACTCTACCGTCTCTCAAGTCGGTAACTTCTTACTCTTTATTTTTTTTTTAGTATACATGTGTGATTGTAATCTATCATCTCTACCCTCTTACTACCCTCACGAATGGCAGGCATTGTCCAGCTTATGTATTTGTAATAATCCGTAAGTGTGAATTCCTTTCCTGAATCAATATATATAAATATATATATATATATATATATATATATATATATATATATATATAG